CAGCGAGTAATGTCGAAATCGCAGGACACAGGGGTGGCCAGCTTGTTGCGGCCAGGAATGCCTGGATCCCAGTACGCATTTGGTGCATTTTGCACATGTGCCCCGTTGGGCCTTGGGCTTTGACCTTGCACCGTGAGTTCCTCGTGTGGAGGGGAAATGGGGAAATTCAAAGTTTTTTGCTTTTGCTTTGAAGTGACTTTCCTCAGATGAATATTGTGGAACAGACATGTACAAGGCACTAATGATCGAAGAAAGTTTAGAAGTCAAACTTCCGACAATATGGACAGATGGAAAGCAGAGGTGGGAAGAGTCAGAGAAGAGAAGAGCAGAAGAGAGAAGATCAGAGAAGAGAAAGACTGAGAGGAAAGAAGGTGCAGGTGCGCGAAAAGGTAGCAAAGTCGCGAAACGCTGCGTTTTACGAATGATTTGTGGCTCCGGAGGGTCGAAAAGTAGGCTCGCTAAAGCGGCGGGTGCGGAACCATGTGGTCAGATGAGAGATAATAAGTTTCACGCGGTTGTGGCGCGAAGCACACTTCGAAGTCAAAACGTGCAAAGCACACCATGCTTGGACCACTTTTGGAAGTTGAGATGTCGAAAAAGTGCACGCCGTTGTGGCGCGAAGCACATTTCGAAGTCAAAAGTCAAAAGTGCAAAAAACGGAGGGGTACGAAGCACTTTTGGACGTTCAGATGTCGTTCTTCTTGCCAGGCACAAGGGATGGTGCACCTTGCCAAAAGTGAGCAAAACGTGCGGGTTTTGTACCAGTTTCAACTACAACCACCGCTACACTACATCACATTACACTCCACTCCACCACGTCACACTACACGACAGCCACAACTACAACTACACTACATTACATTACACTACGCTACACTGATTGTATTACAGTACACTGCGTTACACTACACTACACTAACTACAGCTACAACTGCAACTACAACTACAATTACATTATGCTACACTACACTAATCAGACTACACTACGCTACAGTCCACTACGCTACACTCCACTACACTAAGCTACACTCAACTACTCTACACTACACTACAGCTACAACTACAACTACAGCTACAACTACGGCTACAGCTGCAACTACAGCTACAACTACAGCTACAACGACAACTACAGCTACAACTACACTACACCACACTCCACTGCAACCGCAACCCGAACTGCAAGTGCAGCAACCGCAACCCGAACTGCAAGTGCAGCTACAACTACACTACACTACACTACACTACACTACACTACACTACACTACACTACACTAATTACACTACACTACACTATACTCCACTTCACTCCACTTCACTCCACTTCACTCCACTTCACTCCACTTCACTTCACTACACCACACTGCTCTCAATTACATTACATTACACTACACTACACTACAGCTACAACTGCAACTGCAACTACAACTGCAACTACAACTGCGCTACAGTACACAGTACGCTACACTACACTAATTACACTCCACTCCGCTCCACTCCACTCCACTCCACTCCACTACATAAGACTACACTGCACTGCACTACACTACACTAACTACAACTACAGCTACAACTACCAACTATGCTACGTTACACTACACTACACCACACCACACTACACCACACTACACCACACTACACTGCATCACTACACTTCACTTCGCCAACACTAACGCTAGCACTAATACTAACACTAGAATTAACACTACCACTAGCACTAACAGTAGGACTAACATTACACCACACTACACCACACTACACCACTACACTACATTACACTACGCTACACTACATTAACACCAACACTAGCACTAACACTCGCACTAGCACTAGCACTGCACTAAACTACACTATACTAATTACACTACACCACACCACACCACATTAATTAATGTCAAGATCGGATTAACCACCCCCCCCCCACAAGGTCAGATGGACCTTGTAAAGTCTTTCCTAGTTTTCCCCCTAAATAAACGGCCCTTCGAAGGGAACATGGGCTCATGCGGGGTACCCTTTGGGAGCTATCCAAACTGATTATTTTTATGAAGATTTTTATTAGAAATCGATCATTTGGGGAATATTTTTTTCAAATCTTCGATGAGTATAGAGTAAGGAACCATTTGAAAACAAACAGAGTTGGAAATAAAACAAAATGGGATTTCAGCACTGGTGGTTGATTAATTAGGTCCAGGCCAAACGGTTTTTTAATCCAGGGGGACCACCTGTTTTTAAATTACAATTTTGTGGGGGCAGTTGAGGTTGTTTAATCCGGCGGGTATTGTTCATCCTAACTTGACATTACACTGCACTGCACTGCGCTACACTAACTACAACTATAGCTACAACTACAACTATGCTACGTTACACTACACTACAGTACACCAGACTACGCTACATTACGCTACCCTACATTACATTACACTACGCTCATTAAACTACCACAAATGCAACTGCAACTACACTGCATTAATTATACTACACCACAACGACAACTCCACTACACTACAACTACAGCTACAGCTGTGCTACACCCCACTACATCCAGCTGTTGTGGGTGAGGTAACCGATCAGGTGACCACTGCAACCATTGCAACCACTCCAAAAAACAACTCCAACCACCTGTCAGTCCATCAGTGGATTCGCTCTGCCATCCGTGTTTCACAACAATCAACCTCTCCTATAGGTTTCCTATTCTTGAAACTTCCGCCACCGCCTGGTGCGGCACTACTGGTAAAAAATTGTCCAAAGTGATACAGAGAGACATCCAAACACATCAGCTCAGTTGGGCAGGTGAATCATGGTGAATCCGGGGGGAAGAACTGGAAACTTTGCACTGAGGCTAGACCTGGGAAGGCTCAATCAGATCCAGAACCTCACGGTCTTCTCTCCGAATTCGTCTCTGGCGAGTGTCATCAGCAATATATCGCAGGCAAGATCTAGGTAGCAGAAATGAGTTGTTTTTGCATTTGCAGCAAGCTAATTTATTTTGCGGGTGTGGTTGTGTCTCTATCAATCTCATTTTCCGGGCTTTGCAAACTTGATAAGAGCCAATGTTGACACACACACACATGTGTGTATATATATATAAACACCAATCCGACACCCAATCATATATGTATATACATAATAAACAACACAATATATTTTTATTCTGCCTAGAAACATGCGAATTTGCTAGGATTGCAGCGTCAAGCCTTCGCTTCCAGGTCCTAGCTAAACATTCCACATCCAAAATTTTCAAGATATTCATAGGTTCCCAGTTGGAAACTCATGCTTGATCTCTGGAACATGGTGCAAGGCTTGTGGCTAGCCTAGCAATGGACTTGAAGTCACTGATCTACCCACCTTTCTATTACTGTACCTACCTGTCCACTGAGTCGTTCTGTCCGTCCGTCCGTCCGTCCATCCGTCCGTCCGTCCGTTCGTTTGTTCGTTCGTTCGTTCGTTTGCTGCGATACCCATCCAGGTTTCCATCTAAGATCACCTACGCATGTACCTCTCACATCTGCCTATCTCCCCCTATCTCCACCTATCTGCGCAACTGCATGCCTATGGAACTATGATATTCTCTGCCCATCTACCCGATGACCTGGCTGTCTGGTCCTGCCTGTTTGTTTGGTCTTGTCTGGTCTGGTCCGAGTCGGGTCCTGTCTTGTCCTGGCTGTTTGTCTCTCTGCCTGCCGCTCCCTCCTGCCTCTGGACCTAGCTATCCGTTACATATTGTGTCCATATATATATAATGTTATATTACAATATGTTATCTTATCTTATATTATCTTATATTATATTATCTTATATTATCTTATATTATATTATCTTATCTTCTATTATCTTATATTATCTTATATTATATTATCTTATCTTATATTATATTATGTTATGTTATGTTATACTATGTTATATTATATTATCTTATATTATCTTATATTATCTTATATTATGTTATGTTATGTTATATTATATTATATTTTATTATATTGATGTGTCATATTCATCGATGCATTATCGATCTATGTGTCTACCTGTCCAATTGTCTATCTATCAGCCCATGCACTCATCAATCCACCCATCCGTCTATGCCTCTACCTAGGCGCAGCCATGTTCAGCCTATCCACTACATGTGTTTCTGATCTATCCTCTATATACTGGTGTGGTGCTATTCTTCAGCTGCCAGCAGCTGGCATCGATTTCTTCAACGGTCGCGTACGCGTAGGCAAATGACGATCTGAACTTTTCGGATCTCTTCAGCCAGTTGAATGGCCTTGCCGATGCAGAGCTGGTGCGGTACGGCTCAGATGGGCTGAACATGTTTGAGCGATTTTAATTTCTCACTATAGATTTGCGGCCCGCTTCATGCCCAATATGCCCCAAGCAAAGGCTCTGTTGGCAGAGTGCGTTCACTTTCTCTGTTTTGTGCTGATCATGACCTCCGCTCCGCAGCCCGCGTAAAGGATCGACTGGACTTGGATGCGGACCAGTATAGCTCGTTCTTGGACCAGCTGCAGGCAGGGATTCGCAGGATTTTCTTGGACTTGTCACGACATGTCGTTTGTTTCTTTCTTTCTTTCTTCATTTGCCCGTGATATTCATGTGAAATTCTACGATCCTTTCAAGGCAACACACATTATGACTCACCCTCTATCACCCTCTATCTGGTTTCTCCCACCTCTCTGATTAGGGCTTTCCATAGAGCGTAGCAAAAGATTCAAAATCTTGATTTTTAAAGCTAACATTTGCGTCACTGTGTCATACAGAATCTGGATCTTTTGCAATAGTATCTATTTCATGCCATTTCGATTTCTTCTATGGTATGTTTCATCATGCTGTACTTCCTGGCTACACGTGCTGTTGCATGCGTTTGTCCAGCTCCCGGTTTTTTGTTTCTGGATATTGAATGAATGAATGAGATTGATGAAATTGATCAATATTTTGATTGTTTTTTGCACGAGGCGCTCAATGACCTGGGGCTAAACACTGTGGCAGTAGAAGGAGTCCTAGGCTCC